AAAAAATCATATTTAGCTGTAAGTTTAGCATGTACAGAATGATGATCCACCAGACAATGTGTTATTATGGGAAATAAATGAGTTTTAAGAAACATTTAGTTTTAAAACTCATCAATGAGGCCATCTAACACCACTACTGAAAAATAATATTTGGGTAAAATAATATATTGAAATTTTATTTTTTATTACATATTACTTATTTTTTTACAACTATTAAAAAAAAAACTGGTTAATATTAACCAGTAGCCAGTTCTCCACAATCACAACACATTGTAAAGTTTATCACAAAAAAAAAAATAATAATAATAAATAAATTATTAATTAATATATATATATATATATATATATATATATATATAAACACTTTATTATTATTATTATTATTTTAAACAATATTTCCAAAGAAACATGCTTTCTTTGCAAATTTTAATTTGAAAAATAAATATAATCTGATATTGTGATTGCGGGAATTAATTTCCATCTAACGTATTCTAAGTTCTTTATTCAGTATAATATATTATTCAGTATAAGACGCCATAAATGACTGGGACATGAAAATATACTGCCTAGTAGGAATGACCCAGATTCAGTCAGCATCTGACATTAAAGTCATCAAAGAGTTTGTTTATCAGTCATTCATTGCTGAATTTTTCTTGTTCTTTTAATTAAATTACAGGACAAACTTTCTAAATGGCACTCTAAAGGTTTGAGTAGTGAATGCTGCAGCGAGTGAGTAAACTTTAAACTAGTGTCTCGCTCAGACAAACACTAATGTTCAGCGTGAATCCCAACAGCTGACCTCATTCAAATACAGCTGCACTTAGTTTATTCACAAGCATTTTTAATATTGATGTACAACAAGCCAACGCACTGATTAGCTCAAACACAAACGAGACAGTACATCTGCATTAAAGCTAATACTGAACTGGAGTCAGTAGAAGCATGTTGACGGCGCATCAGAGGAGCGTGTTTTGATGGCTGTTTGACTGTGGCGCTCTGTGTGAATGGGGAATTCATTCACATTTGAGTTCTGATATTAGCTTGCACGGCGAACAACGTGATGCTGAGCTTTTAAATATGAAACAACACGCACAAGAAGTGCTGTGGGAGAGAGTTGGAGGGAGAAGTTTGGGTCACGGCAGATGTTTCCTCAAACATACTGACGCAAAGAAACTCCTGAGCATATGTGCACACCCACACACACATGCATATACAACTTCACATTTGTATTTATGCATTTGGCAGATGCTTTTATTCAAAGCGACTTATACTGCATTGAAGTTATGCATTTTATCAATTCATGCAGTCCCTGGGAATCAAACCCATGACATAAAGTCATGCTACACAAATGCTCATTGTACAGTAAACAACATACAGAGATGGAGTTTGTGTGGAGCAGAATTTACTGTAAACCAAGTCACTCTGAGACACGGTGAACATAGAAACACAATCACTGCATCCAAATAATCCTACTATCATACTATACAGTAGGCGAAAAACAATAAGGCAAAAGAGCAGCATTCATAGTATTCGAAAAAAAGAGTGTGAAAAGTACCCAGATGACCTACTACTTCTGGCACGATTCTGAAGTGTGAATCTGATTGCCATTTTACTATCCCATGAGGCCATGGGAGAGGATTTATTAATGGCAGTGGAGCGATGCAACGGATGCTGGTAGGTCGTATTACAGTAACAACAGGGTGGATATAGTGCATCTAGATTTCATTCATACTCATATTCGTACTTACTATATTAACTTACTTTTTTAATGGTCAGGAAGTAGATTTCAAAGCAAATGTAATATCTACTAGACAGCATGTGATTTTGGACACAGCCAATGTGCATCAAAACCCATTACTTGTGATTATTTTGTCATAAACTGGGACTGCAATTTGAACTAAACATTGTGTCTCTGCTGCCGAAACATCCAGGCAAAAATAACAAACAGTCCACAGTCCAACTGAAATAGTTGCCTTTAAGGGTGTTCACACTTGGGTTCAATCTCTACAAGAACCAACTAAGATTCAAACCAAATCAAGTACCTACTAGACAGTGTGAATTTCAGACTTAAATGAACACAGTGCTCTGCTTCACTCTGAAACCGCACCAAACTAAATCGCAGCCTTTCTAAATCAAGCATATCGCAATTCCAATTTTACATTTTGCACAACTCTATTTATTTAATTTAACTTTTTTTTTTTAATTAATAGCCTTTCATCAGCTCACCAACTCTATTTCCCTATTTTGCAACCAGAATGCAAATTTTAATTTGCAATATCCATAGACATATTGATTACCCCCTCTTATTAGGATTAAACTTTAATGTTTAACCTGTTGCCATGGTAACTTATTTCAAATTTTTGGAAGATTCCAACATTCCAAAACGAATTCCATATTCTATAAAAATAGAACTAATCCTTTTTATACCACAATCGTGTTCCATTCACATGGTAACATGAGAAAAAACTCACAAAAAACAGTTTAATACCATAGTACATTTTAGTTAATGTGTAAAACATTTTCATCGATAACACAGAAGTGGCACCACCTACCGTGGTTGTTTTTGTTGTGCACCGGTGTGTAGTGGTTCTTGGATGTCCGTACAGGTGTGTTCTCTTTGGGCGAGGTGTCTATAGCCGCGACATTTTCATGCTCGTACTGTGATATGGGAATGGGCCCCTGCTGTCTCAAAATGTCCGCCAGCGCTCTGCGGGGGAAAAAGAAAGTTTAAAGATACAAACACACCGGCCCCCAAGAGGTTTAGCCAATTTCCCCCGTTTAGGAGATTGTTTCTGTTGTTTTTCTATTTGTGGAGGTTCTTGCCTCTCGCAACCAGCTATCTTTTCTCTCTTTCGCACACATACACAACTTTAATTGCGCTTTGTCTTATAATGAACAGTGGAGGTTTAGTCTGTCAGGTTTTCGGGACCTCAGGCCTGCGAACTATACAGCAGCAAACAAAAGCCATTAATCAATGTTTCTCCGCAATATGGCGTTAGAGCAACACACCCCACCCACACCAGTCTAATGGGATTCAAATTCTATTAATGTTTTTGCTCTTTGGCCCGAAAGACACACTTTCTGACTCGAGACCCAACTGCCTCATGGATTTTCTGCGCAGCAGCAATCTGAGATTCTGCTGGCTGGAGTTAATGGTGTTTTCTCACTAATGCAGTTTTCGGAGCTTGTGCAGTTATATGGGGCTTTATCTTGAGGGCAAACTTTTTTAATTCCAGATGAACTTTGTAACTTTGGGATAGTGTTGGCTAAGTGCTTAAAAATAAAAATTGGTGACCAAAAAAGTTGGTGGCCAAAAGGATGAATAAGTAAATGTGTGAATGAGATCTGAAAGCTGTAAAATGATCATAATTTTAATGGTAAAGACTGCAAAAATGCTATGGTTCCCTAACTATAAAAATCTATATATATAAAACAAATAATGTAATTTTACAGCAAAATACTGTTAAATTTACAGCTTTTGTAAGCGAAAAAGAACAAGCCATCTTATAAATTACAGTGAACAACCATAAAATTGATATTGCCAGAATGGGACCTTAACATTTTTACTGCAGATGAACTTCAAACTTTGGTATTGTGTTGCCTTAGTAGGTAAAAATCATTATTTGTTGAATGAAATAGGTGACTAACGTGAATAAGTACATGTGAATTATATCTGAGAGCTGCATTTAAAAAAAAAATGTTAACAGTCAAATAGTGTAAAGTGAAAACTGTAATAAGTCTAATGGGACTTTTCACGTAATTTCACAGTAAATTACATTTTAAGTTACAGTTTTTATTAGCGAAAAAGAACAAGTCATCTTAAAATTTACAGCCAAAATAAATAAAATAAAATAAAAATTTCCTAGTGGTCACAAACCAAAAAGTTGCAGGTTTCATATTTATATTTTCACATATTCAATTTTAGTATGTGAAGATACACTAGGTTTGACAACGTTTTACAGAGGGACGTTTGAGAAATTTGTGTTTCACAGACGTGCATTGAGATTTTAATCCAGTGCAAATCTGACAAGTCTTAATTTTAACAGTAAAAAAAAAACTGTAAAAATACTGTAAATTAATAAATTTACAGTGAATTAAACATTAGACAATCATAACTATACATGGTGAAGAACTGTAATAGATCTAATAGGGCATTTCATGTAATTTTACAGTAAAATACTGTTAAATTAAAAAATATATAAATACTATAAACAGTTTTATTATTTGTTCATTTATTTATGTGTTTATTTATTACAAATAATAAATTAAAAATAAATCAATGAACTTTTTTACTGTTTGTCTGTATAGTTTGTATTCATGTTTATTTCAGTTTTAGTTGTAGTTATTTTAGTACATTACTTGGCAACTAGCAGAAATTGTATTTTATTTTGCATTATTTCAAGTAATTATTTTTTTTGTTTTAATTTTAGTTTCAATTTTAGTTAACTACAATAACTCTGCTTCATAAGACTTGGAGTTTAGTGCACAAGTCATTTCAACAACTTTGATGCCTATTAGAACCAGATGATGTGCCATAAACATGAATAAACATTTTCAAGCAAAGTCCAACAGTAGAGAGTGCATCTCTGGGAAAACCGTAAGGTCAAGGCAAGGTGCTTACTGGTCTAGGGTTTGTAAAAGTCCATCAAAGGAAACTTTAGGATGACCATGGCATGGCACTCGTTAAGATTAAAAAAATAATAATAATATTATCCAAACAATCTAAAAGCAGTTTTGGATTATTATTTTTTTTTGGATGTAGCCATCAAAGGCTTTTTAATGCCTTTTTAGTGCCATGGTCATCCTAAAGATTCCTTTGATGAATAAACATTTATTCAGAAGCAGAAAAAAGGTTGAACCAGGTCGGACTGTCAGTTCTTACGGCGCATGTCAATGCGGCGGTATCCAGCAGACCCGGAGGCCATCTCTCCTCACATGAGGAGCCTGAAATGGCGTCTTAACTGTGTCAATGTCAGCGTATTTGCTCTGCCTCGCGGTCCACATCTCCGAGCGCGCCACAGAGACAGATAGAAAGAAAGAGAGAGAGAGAGATAGTGTGACTTTGGAAGGAAGTATAATTAGTCTTTCCCTTCCAGGAGAAGGCCTTTTTTAACAGAAGTTCTCCTCACGTGGGGGCGACCTGGTTTCACTGCCCCAGTTGGCTGTAAGGCTCTGAGCGCAGCTCTACCGATCCACCTTCTTCAGCTCAAACACCGCAGGACCGGGGCCTAGCTACATTAAACTACTTGAATTAGCTCTTTTACTGTAGTTTTTACACGTCACGTTCGCTCTTTTAGAGATTTCGAACAGTTTAACTTTATGCATCCCAACACAGGTAAGAGTTTTACCAGCTAACCAGCATACTGAAGAATAAAACAATGCTCCAGGTTCAATAACTAATGATGTTAAGCTTGATAGCATTAGCTATGTTAATAACCACAAAAAAAATTGACTCATCCGTCAGTTGAAATCAATCAATTAAATAAAAATCATTGTGGTTACAGTAACATACTAATAGTGAAAATATACTGTTATAATAGTGTGAAATAATCATGCAACAGTCTTTTCTGTGTTAAGTTGTATTTAGTCTTTCAGCTTCAATGTCATGAGCCATGAAAAACTGTAACTTTCATGACCCGCACAAACTAAAAAGATGATTTAAAAAACTTTACAGATCAACAACAAAAATTGTCATTAAATAATCATGATAAATGCTTTAAAAAACTATGAGCTTCACATTTCTGTTTTTAAACCCTCGTGAATATGTGGGAATTTTTTTTTAAATGATTGTGATTTTAATGGTAAAATACTGTAAAAATGCTACAGTAAAAATAAGTTTAAAAAAAGTACAAGTTAAAGTTTCCTTAACAAACTGTAACAGATCTAATGGGACATTTCAAAATACTGTTAAATTTACATTTTATTTTAATTTTTTTTTGTAAATGAAAAGAAAAAAAGGTATCTTATAATTGACATTGGGGGAAAAGAAATTGTAGTAAAATTGTCAAATTTACATTTCCAGAATTTTTCACTGTGGATGAACTTTGTCACTTAGAGATAGTGTTATTTAGTGGTTAAAAATCAAAGATTTTCACAATTGTACAGATTAAAAAAATCGATTTTTGTCACTAACTAATCACGATAAATGCTTTTAAACAATATGAGCTTCACATTTCTGTGCATGGCATTGTTTACATTTGAAGAGCCTTACTGCAACTGTGATTTTTTTTTTAAATAAATTAGCAAATATAAATAAATAAATGTATTTTTATTAATTTAATTATTAAATTCATTATTTGATATTTTAATTATTATAAATAAAAATCAATCAACAATTTATTAAATATTAAAATTAAGTTAAATAAATGGTATTTTATTTTATTAATTTAATAATTTGTTTTGTGGTTATTTATTATAGCTACAAATAACAAATAATGACAATAATAATAATAATAATAAATCATATTTCACACACAAACACACACACACACACACTCAAACACACACACACACCGCTCTCAAATTGATAGATGCATAGGATAAATGCATTGTGCATGTGTAAACGCCACACATACAACCTTCTCTGTCTCTACAGATCCTCATCAAAAGTCCTTCAGTGTCTGGTGTTAATATATGCAAGACGATGCTAATGGTAATTTGGGCCTAAGTGCTATCCTGTTTGCTCTAAAGACACATCTAGACATCAGTGTGAGTTAATTACATCCTCACAAACACCCTGATGCAGCCTCTGGGGATGGACGAGCACCGATTCCCAACAAATCAAGGCCAATTTCCCTCATTCCAGCACCTGAATTGGGTTGAATGGTGAAACATATGGTGGCTTTAGAGACCTGATGTCGCTACAGCTCGAATTAGACATACTGTCTCACTCATTCAAACTCTGGTTACATGTTTAAAATGCATGCAAAATGACCAGTGATTCAGGTAATGATGCATTCACATTAAAAACAATTACGTTTGGCACCAGACCTGCCAACGGCAAGTGAATTTATCACACGAGGATGTTGTGATCCGACAAGACTCAAGTTCCTGATTATGTCAACATCATGAATCAAATAGATGACATTATAATCAAAGAAACTTCTCAATATTTTACATCACTGTAAAAGAGAGAAAATAGTTGAAAGAGATACAACGCAGAAACGCAGTTTTTTTTACCTCCGTGCCCAAACGTCTCTGTTTGGGCTTCCGAAAGTGGATGATGTCAGGAAACAGTGGTTGCAATTTATTTTTTAACTCTGTTCCTGAGCATTATAACCCCAATTTGCTATTGTGTGCTGTGCATTTTACTGAGGACAGCTTCCACAACATGAGGGAGTACAGTGCCTGCCGGATTCGCCAAAAAGCTTTTGTTGAAAGACGGAGCAAGGGGCGTGGCAGTACTGAAACACCGTCTAAGCCGTTCGCCAATCACAACGCACTGGCAACACATTTTGTTTTTCGGAAGGCGGACCTTCATCAAAGCCGAAACTAATCGAACCGTTTGTGCCAGCCTGGGGAGAAAGGTATTTTAATAATGTAAATTATGTGAAAAATAATGCATTTTTTGAACCACCAAGCATGAGAGCATGTTCTAGTACACCCCCAAAACAAAATCAAGACTTTGTAAAAGAGCATAATAGGACCCCTTTAAGTGAAATTTAAGTGGGTGAATCTCAGTGCTCAGCTCATACTTCACTCCATAAC